CTCTGGCACCACGAGATGCAGAGCCAACCTTCAGAAATGGGACCATAACACAGGAAAGCCACTTCCAACTCACAGGGAACAGATGTGGATTCCAAGGCTCCGACCCAGCGGTCCCTGTGCTTCTTCCTTTGGTTGATGAACTGCAAAACGCTGGAGAAAAAACAAAGCCCAGGCATTAAAACATGCTCAGAGCCCGAGAGGGGTCTCTTCTTCATGCTCTGGGGAAGCTAGTTAGTAAACAGCTGTATTATATCACTACTGACTGAGAGGTCGTGAGTTTGAAGCCAGCCTGGGTCGGAGTGAGCTCCCGACCATTAATAGTCTAGCTTGCTGTCGACCTATGCAGCCCGAAAGACAGTTGCATCTGTCAAGAAGGTAATTTAGGTACCGCTTTACGCGTGGAAGCTAATTTAACTAATTTACGAATCCATAAAACCTTCCAGCAGCATGCGTAGGAATGAGGAAGTACTCCATCAAGTGGACGGTGAAGCAGCAGCTCCCCCTGTGGCCAAAATTGAGCATATCCTCATGAAGCCAGTAAAGCTGGAATGTTAAATTGCCTCTGTGTCTGTGTATATATATATGTGTGTGTGTGTGTGTTGTAGGTCTAAATTGGCATTGAATGTTTGCCATGTACATGTGCATCGTAATCCGTCCTGAGTCCCCTGTGGGGTGAGAAGGGTGGAATATAAATACTGCAAATATATAAATAGGATTTTCATCATTCATAGAATCATAGAATAATCGAGTTGGAAGAGACCCCATGGACTATCTAGTCCAACCCCCTTCTGCCATGCAGGAAAAGCACAATCAGAACACCACTGACAGATGACCACCCATCCTCTGTTTAAAACCTTCCAAGGAAGGAGCTTCCACCACACTCCGGGAGGCAGAGAGTTCCACCGCTGAACAGGTCATGAGTTCAAAGCCAGCCAGGGTCGGAGTGAGCTCCCGATCATTAATAGTCTAGCTTGCTGTTGGCCTATGCAGCCCTAAAGACAGTTGCATCTCTCAAGTAGGAAATTTAGGTACTGCTTTATGCGTGGATGCTAATTTAACTAATTTACAAACCCATAAAACCTTCCAGCAGCGTGCGTAGGAATGAGGAAGTACTCCATCAAGTGGACGGTGAAGCAACAGCTCCCCCTGTGGCCAAAATTGAGCATATCCTCATGAAATCAGAAAAGCTGGAATGTGAAATTGCCTCTCTGTCTGTGTGTGTATGTGTGTGTGTGTGTGTGTATAATATACTAGCTGTCCCCTGCCACGCGTTACTGTAGCCCAGTCTGGTGATCTGGAATATAAAGTAATGAGAAAGTGTTGGTTTGTAATATATGTAATTTCTTTCTGCTTGTGGGTAAACAGTATTTCTTGCTGTTTCTTTGTCAGTGTTGATGTGGAGAGTGTCTGGTTTGCCTAATCGGGAACATGCAACATATAATTATCCTTCTTCAGGGGTCCCTTTCACATCTATGATACTATATCTGTGTGTGTGTGAATCATATCTATCTATATCTATGGCTGGATGGCTCTTTGTCAGGAGGGCTTTGATTATGTTTCCTTGCTCTGGTGAAGGGAGTTGGACTGGATGGCCTTAATATTTTCTGTTGGTCATGGGAGTTCTGTGTGGGAAGTCTGCCCCAATTCTGTCATTTGTGGGGTTCAGAAT